CAGCCATGGCCTTGCAACAACCTGGCCCTCCCGGCTTGCCCCGTCGTCATCTCCCCTGTTCTGCTGCTGTTCAGGGGTGGTACCTTACGGCCCTAGGTACCTGGAAGATCGCCCTTTAGCGCATCCTGGTTTTCAACTCCCACCCCCATGTCCACTGTTCATACGTCCGCAAGAACTGAGGGTGTCGACAAGGGTATCGCACACGAGTTCATACAGACGGAAGCACTTCGAGTCTTCCGCTGCAGCTACTTTCTATGACCCATGTCGTGGGTATCGGTCCCGAGATGCCAAGGCGCATCTAGTTCCCATGGATGCCCTAGACGCTCTTCGCTCACGGTTCTCTCTAGTTTCGATCCATCTTATAAAATTCCTCGCCTCCTCGTCTGGTTCTTGTGCTACCCTCCTCTCATGTTTTGTCAACCACCAGTTCTTTGCCTCAACGTTTACACGTTGTCTCCACGCATTAGACTTTGGATTTTCTCCTGAAGCCCTGCATCCACGCAAGTCTCGACATCGCTTACCATCAAGTTATGCGCCACAACCCGGAACATTCTCCTTGGTAGTTCCTGTGCCTGCTGGCCATCCCATCTTTCTTATCAGTCCTTCTTTACCAAACGATACGCTCCCTCCCGCGGTGGGTTCGAACAATACGCCGACATGGCAATGCAGCCAGCCACCCTCCCTGTTATGGGTTGTGAACCCATGAACGTCAATATGCAGCTATCCCACGGCACGTTGGTGCACGACGGCAGATCTCTCGACGGCCAAGAATATCAACGCGGGGATTCTGTGGCGATCATTGACAACGGATCGAACGAAGACCTGAAGGACTCTGTCCACGTTCTCAACCTGCGAAACAACCAGTACATGCTTGTGCTTCTCAAGTCTGTCTGCTGGGTTCCCACACATACCGAACAGCGATCCGGCGCCACCTTCCTGATCACCATGTACGGTCCTAGCTTGGACTTCAGGCAGCCGGGGGACGCCCAACGCCGCTTGGGTAACCGCGGAATTGTGAGCCTTCTTGGTTCTTCTGTGTATGTCGCACGCGAGATCATCTTTGAGGGCAATCCTTCACGAGCTGTCCTCGACGCTACCGACAGAGTCTCAACATTTACGGTCCAGTGGGATGCTTTGTCAGTCGATGCGATACAGCAGCCCGCGTTGACGCCTTCTTCGTCTTGCGCGTCCTCGAGGAGTCCTTCCGAGTCTGGCGATGACGTTCCTGTCATGCACTTTTACCGCCATCAAGGCCGGCGAGATTCTGCCATCGAGATTCGCGACCCCGAATCACCCGTTTACAAGTCTACTGCTACACATAAGGTAAGAGTGTGTCCATGTTCAACAACGGCTCAAATTCAACAGCCGTGCTAACCAGACATCAGCAGACGTCACCAAAGCCGCTGTTTACCCGTTCTGCTTTCTTTGCCACAAAGCAGAACACTCGTATATCGACAGACGCCCCAACACATCGCCAACCATGCGGCAGTGCTTCTTGGTCAGACCTGGGGTCAGACGATGAGCCTGCATTCGATGTTGACGGCAGTTTCAACCTTGATGCTGGCTGTCCTGCCACGCTCGACTTTTGCAGCGAAGGGTTCCAGCTGAACGGAATGAACACAGAAGGTGATCTGCAAGTCAACTTTGTGTTCATGCAACAGAACGAGGGCGACAACTACGTTGGTACACACCCAGAACAGCAGCGCCCAGATAACACCACGCAAAATCACATGTGGGCTGCTCCAGGGATGCAGGCAGGTCAGGACCAAGCCTGGAACACTCTGCAGATGCCGCAGCAGCAGTTGGCAGAGATGCGACAACCGCATATGCCTACACCGCAGCGCCAGCAACAGCTCCCACCGAGGCAAGAAGTGCACTCGGAATACTATGATCAGTACAGGATGATGGAAGACCCCAACAGAGCTCACGGTCAGAATATGGGACAGCATGAGCATTTGGAGACGCCTACCATGCACGGGCAACGCGCAGAATATGCCCAGCCACAGCAACTGCCTCAAGCCACTGCTCCTCATCCTGGCCAGGGTTTCCAGATGCAGCCTCGTTACGCAGAGCAAACCAACAGGCTCCCCGTTCCTGCTCCCGCTCCAGTTCCGTTTTCTATGCCACAAGAGGTCCACGTCATTCAGAGCAACCGCCATGAGCCTCGCCCTCCCTACGCATTGCCCTCCAACTACAGCCCGGTTCATGAAGGCAGCTTGCCATCAACCTCACACAGTCAGCAACCCAGGCGTAGTCCGCTCCCTGACGAGTCACGTTCATCGAGCGCTCGAGGAACACCCGTCATCCGTCGAGCAAAGCCTCAACCCGCACAAACGTTCACACCCACTGCCATGGTCAACTCTTTCCGTCAAAGCACGCAAAATCACATTGCTGCTCTCGAGAGACACTGTGAGCAGCTTCAGCAAGTCAATGATGACCACGTCCGCAAGGCCCACGAGACCCTCCAAGCCGCGCGTCGTGCAGCTGAAGAATCTTCCCAGACGCTCGGCCTTCTCCAGCCGATCTCTGGCATTCCGTTCCAGGGCACAGAAAGGAGGTTGCAGGCTCTGTCTGACCAGATTGCCGCAGCAATGCAAAACCTTCTGCCCGAAGCCTCTGAGCCTCCCGCCACCCCTGAAGAGGGTATCAAGCAGCTGAACCAGAAGGTTCAGGCCCTCAAGGAGTTCATCGAATACGTGGAAGGGGTTCATCCTGAGGTAGTCAAACGCGCGCAGGCCTCCGCGGAGGCCAACTCCAAGACTGGGGATAAATCTCGTCTGGAGAACAAAAACGCGCCTGTCGCCACAGGCGGCCGTGTTCCATCCGCCCCCGCCTCTGTTTCTTCTCAGATGGGTGCCAGCGACGACGATTCGTGTCGCTGGGTTGACGGACAGGCCACGCCACCACCCGACCGCTCGTCGGCTTTGGCTCAGAACCGAGACCACTCGCGCCTCTTCCGCGACATGACCAATGGTCACAGTCGAGTTCGCCAAGAGAACCGCGTTGCCACCTCAGACTTCTATCCAAGTGCAGCCTACAGCCGCCCTTCATCTCACATGAACTCACCGGTTACCAGCCACCCTGCTCCGGCTGAGGCTCCTCACGGCTTCTTCCAACAGCCCCTGCCCACTCCAGTTCAGCAATCAATCCCTCTGTCAGACTACGCAATGCAGTCTCGACCGATCCCGACTTACACCCCGCCTACCTCTGCAGAGATGATGCGCCCCATGCAGGCCATCTCTGGCATGCCTCCCCAGCACTACACCACCCAGCAGGAGAACCCTTTCTGCCTGCGGCCCGCGCAGCAAGACTGCATGTACCCTACGAGCGCAGCCGAAATCTCTCAGGCGGGGTATGCTCCCCGTTCTCCGGTCTATCCGCCCAACAGCGCTGGGCCCCAGCCGGGATACTACCCTGACGTGAGGTCCGGTCTTCCGGAAAGGCGTACCATGCGCCAGGAACGCCCGGCTCCGTACTCCTTGAACTACAGAGGAGACCAGAGGCGACGCAGGGGAAGTCAGTAAAGAGCATGGCCGTGTTTGATTTTTGTTCCTCGTCTTCCTTTTCTTATCATGTTCGTTGCTTCATAAATTGCTTCATCAGCGAGTATTGATTCATGCCACTGCATCTTATGGCGAGGCGTTCTCGGAGCGACAAATGTCTTTTCGATGGATGCTCCCGGCTGCTGGAAACCAGCCGTCTTATCGTTCTTAATCTCTAACTTCTAAACCATATTGCTATACCGCACGGCGTATACATTTTTTGCACGACCGGATTGATGTCCGGAGGCTTGGTGGATCACTAGGGATAATGGGACATTGCATACACGAGAACATGTCTAGAGGGAAGGGCTTGTATGATATAACGACCTTTATGTCTTATCTGGGTGGCTACTCAAAAGTTTAGCGTACTGTCTAGAATGAATGATCAGATTTAAGCGTACTATCCTCTCGATCCGTTGCAATTGTTGTTGCGAATTCCATTTGGCAAAGAGCCGTATCAATAAGACCGTTGCAAGTTCCCACGTCACCCATCACCGAACCGCGCCGCAGACGGACAGCTGTCATCGGCGCCCCGGAACCTTACACCAGCACAGACCCCCAGTGTCCCCGGTCTCCTCCGCCTCCGCGGGAAGCCGGGATCTGCCCGGCACGACCCCCACACCAGCGAACATGCCCGAACCGGTAAAACCTCCGTTCTCCGGTCCCAGAAAAAAGACGGCAGACACGACCCCCAGACTTCGCAATGCCGTTCCACGACATGGCCACGCATCCCCCTGAACGCCGAGCCCTTTTTCGATCGCCCTCCAATCTTGCGCACTTCGACATCAGGACGCGGTCCCCCCGATTGTCCGCCGTGTGGGGGTGGTTTCTTTTTTACCTCGGCAGGGTTCACCAGATTGGCAGTGAAGCTTTCTGTATTGAGAAAGGAGTCTTTCCTGTCTGCCTGACGATCTGTGGATTCGGCTCCGATTGGCGGTGAAGTCTAAAGGTAGCTCAACGTTGAGAAAGCCAGCGTGCCACCATCCAGACCCGCGCGCGCCAAGAGCCAGCTTTATCTGGGAGCGGTCTGGCTCAGAGATCCGAATCGGGGCATGTTTCAGGGACGATCGTTCCGGTTTGTGGATGGCCGCCGTTTTTTTTTCGTCGTCTGGACGTGGTTCATGTTGCTGCCCTGCATGAGAGGAGAGAGGTATCTGGCATCGGAGAATTGGTGCGGAACGGGGTCGTTGCTCCGCATTTTTGGGGGTTCTGTGGTCGGTCTCTGGCCGGTAGCCCCGTGATGGTGAGACTGTCGTGGCGCGCCGAGAGGACGGCATGAATTTCCTAGTGCGGGGGTCGTCACCGCGGCCGAGGTCCGCGGTGTGCCTTGCTGTGTATATAAAGCGGTCGAGTTTTGGTGAAGAATGAAGATTGGAAATTACTCGAAAATCACATCACGATACCTGCTGCTTCAAGTACCACTCGTCCGGCACGAAAGAAACTTCAAATTCATCAAAAATGGCCATCACCAGAATCGGACTTATTGCCCTCTCCGACGACGTCAAGCAGGAGGAGGCCGTCGCTCGCTTCGGCAACTTCTCGAGCGAGTGCAAGAAGGTACGTTCCTCGGTCCCAGGTTATCGGAGTTAGCAGATACTTACATATGAGTGACAGGACGGCAACACATACATCCTCTCCTCCAAGGCGAGCAAGTGCAAGACTCTCACCGACGTCCCGGGATCTCAGCCGTGGAGCGTGGTGTACGAGATCACCTTTGCGAATGAGGCGTGAGTTCAGCCCTGATGAGATGTTCTCCTAGATGTTCATTGGGAAGCTAACGCGTGAATAGGGATATGGAGTACTACCAGACCAAGGACCCCGTCTACCAGGAGCTCATGAAGCAGGCCGCTGAGGGCAAGGCGACTGGATTCATTGCTGTTTCTGCGGAGTTTTAGACGATCTAGTGAAGAATGAAATGAAGCTATGAACACATCATCAACGTTTGAATCTTGAGACCCAACACGACGTGAAAGCATATTAGTGTTCATTTGAAAGGCCATCATTAAGAACTAGTACCGACAAACACAACCAGCACCGCCGCGTACGTAGCCGTAGCCACTACGGTCTCCTCATTCGACACCTTGAAGACCAAGCCCATCACAACCGAAAAGATGGTGACGGCGACCGACGTGACAACGAGGCTCTTTGTCGTATCTTGCCCCGGGAGACTCATGATAAGCATAGGGACTATTAGGCTCACCCCGCCGGTGAAGGAGATGATGAACCTGGCCAGCTTGTCGACCAAGGGCGAGACAGTCTCTGGCGGGTCGTTCTTGAGGTACTCGTCTATGTGGACCCGCATCTCGTCTTTCGTATACGTCCACTGCCTCGGAAGCCTTGCTTTGAGGAAGCGCCTGAGAGGGTCGACGGGAGCTTCTGGGTGTGAGGGGGCGCGGAAGGTGCAGTATCGCGAGTTGTACGGGTCGCCGGCGAGGTCAGCGATGAAGGGGAACGCGGCTGTCAGATCGCGACGTCGGTCTTCTGCTTGGGAGCCCGTGATTTCTGGGAGAGCTCTGAGGTATTCGTAATCACGTACAGCATTTGCTATTCGGGAGTTTTCTGAGTCAGACTTTCGATATAGAGATGGTTTCAAAAGCGACACAAGCCGGCTTTCGTCACTGACATAGCTTAACTTACCATAATCGTGCAGCGTTGTCCTTAACCTTGCTAAATCATCTTCTTTAGCACTAAAATCTGTCCAGACGGCGGATTTGAGCTTGGCAAGCTCATTCTGGAGGTGGAAAAGGTTGATTCTGTTGAGTATTCGGTACTCCAGGATATGTGGTTCGTCGTTTCCTGAATGCCATGAGTAACGGAAAACGCGCTCAGCATAGTCCATGTCATCCCGAATCCTATCCGGATTCCGCTTTCGAAAGCCATTGCCGCTCTGAAATCCTAGCATTTCTCCTGTTGAATAAGTGCTTCTTTACCTGGAGGAAGTAAAAAGGTCATTCAGAGAGTAGAGTCTCTGCTTACAAGAAGAACGGCGGGGATGAGCACATTAAGGTATGATGAGCGACTTAATCAAGTCATTTGCTTGGGTTGTTTACGTTCGATGTCTTTCGCGGATTTGATAGTCGCCGATCACCACACGTGGCTACCGCCACGAAGCGCCGACAAGGCCTAAAACCGTTAGTAGACTCAGCCGCAGCCATCCCTTCCACAAACAACTTAAGGTTATGCTCGAAGGAATGTTGGATGTTTCTCGGCAGTTTCCCTAAAGAAGGATTTCTTCCAAAAGACTTTCAGGGTAGGTATGAATACAAAACGATTGACCAAGCCGACTTGAGAATGTCCATTCTGGTTCAATCTTCATCATTCTCACCTCTACCGAACGAATAATTCTTCAATGGACGCAATGTATAAACGATTTCTCCGTTTCCGTCGCGAAAACCAAGCGTCGCAAAGAAGCCCGGACCCAGAAAGTAACCAACTTCAGGAGAGGATGATACCGCGTTCGATGAACAGGCCTTTGACCGACATCGAATGTGTCAACGCTGCTAGCTCGAGCGTGGATAAAGCCCTTCTGATTCTGGCCGAAATCCAGAGAACCCATAAGCGTTGTAGCAAGAAGAAAACTGCCGAGCTTGAAAACTTGCGACAGGCATTGCAAGATTTGAAACAAAAGCTCATTGGTTTAGACAAGGAATTGTTGAGAAGAGATCGATGTAAGTTGCGCCAGACGGAGAGAAGTCGCTGCAAAAAGGTCTAATTGATCTACAGATCAGGCTCGAGCCATATTTCTCCGCCTGGACCGCGATTTCCGTTTAGATGTGACGGAACCGCTGAAGACAGCTCTGTTGGACAACGTTTTGCCAGCATGTCCATGTATTATCTCTGCCATAGGATACATACTGGAGGACGGCAACGATGTGGTTCGAAGGCTTGCCGCTAAAGCTGCCGAGGAAGACTCCAATCATCGCAAAATCTTGGAGGCAGCGGATGAAATGACCTGAAGTACTCCAGGACGCTCAAATCAGGCCTGCACATATTGAACTCGGATGGTTCCCCTCCCAGCATGCAATCCACCGCGATTGCAGCCCAGTCATCATAGGAGTGCTATCCATTTCTTGCATCGAAACGCAAAACAAACTATCACCTAGTGATGCCGCTCATATTCAAGCTAGGGCAATGCCAGCGTGGCCAAGTCCTCACATGAGCCAGCGCCACCAACGGCGGCGTTCAGTCTAAAATAGCCTCAAAACTCAGCCTCAGCATGGCAAGTGGATTTACTCTAGTGTCACGATACAACTTGAATGCCTCGCCGGACTCAATCTAAGAGCTTATTCGTAAAATTCTGTATCTAGGTTGCCATCGTTAGATCTCTCTTTGAACGAACCATCACGTATATAAGACGCAGCGCCAAGTTCTCAAGACAGAATAAAGATCGACACCACCAAACACTATCCCGGAGAAAGTTTTATGTCTACCATCTGTCCAGCCGTCCTTCACATGCTGTCCTGCTTCCGTGGCGATAAAGAGAAGGACGACGATGAGTACGCTCTGTACCCTCGAATCATTTACATCCCAGCAAGATATGATCGACCCGAAGAATCAGCCAGAAGACGGCGATACATCCAAAGACGCTGCAGTCTAGAACCATTTGTCGTCCACGTTCAACCGCCAGAGCGCCAATGGCAGGAATCTCCGGCACCAGTCATCTACCAGCCACGGCATCCCACTCCGGAGCCACGTCTCACGCCTGTACAGTCCGCTTGGGACATTCGAGATCGGGCAGGCGAAGATCTTCAAGGACGATCCCGCGTCAAGCCATTAGACACAGCCGATTGTGCCGAAGCGATGATCCTCAGCGTCAGAAAAGCCCGGCAAATATTGCACCAAGTGCAAAAGCGGAATAGGCCGAGGGGTGAAGAGAGGGACGCATTCGATCACGAAGCTGGCCGCCTAGATGAAGCGATGGGGAGAATGGAAAGCCATCTCAGACGAGGGACCCATCGCTTGCCGAATATTCTCACACGAACGGCTGTACTACGCCTGGATAGGGAATTTCGAACAGACGTCACGAAGCCATTGAAGATGGCTCTGCTGATGAAGACGCAGCCGAACCTTAGAGCCCTGCGGTACATTGTCAACCAAATCAAGGACGAGTACAAGAGTCTGTGAGTGCATCGTTATCAGCCTGGAGTTTAGAGTAATGGTGGAGATGATTATGCAGACAAAGCCTGGTGAGGAAACAGAGGAAGGAAGCGAATGCTGTATGGGAATAAGCGCGTGTACGACTAGCCGCATTTCCTTGGTTTCAGTGCTTTTATGACCATTTATACCAAGCAGATAGACGCATATAATTTTTCACACACACATTAGTTGGTCTTTCAAACCCTTTACTCGACCCTTGTCAGTCAGATGTTTCGAGGCTCTCCTCGTGCTCGTACCGTCTCCGTCCATTAAATTGCACAACTAGTCTGCTAGCCGACCACAACCCTCCAAAAATGGAAGGAACCGTCTCAGGAATCTTTCTCACATCTTGTAGGCCCCCTTGTGATTGAAATTTAGCAAGATGATTGATACAGAGCAGCGACATAGCCGGCGAAGAACACCTACCTACCTCAGCCCCTATTCCCCCAAGACTCTGAGCACCAGCACATGCCACAAACGCCTGATTCAGGTCACTTCAAATAGAAGAATGATCGACGCCATGGTTTACGTTAGAATCTGCCCCCGACTCGGCACATGAAGCTAGGGTTTCTGGCTGGGCAAGCAGGCCACATGAGTAAGTAGCCTGTTCTTCCCCCAAGAGTTGGGATGATCTGCCGAACCAAAGCACCGGTTCGCCGGTGGTAATGTACCATTGTTTGTACCCATACCACTGATACTAAATTTGATCGATGAGTCCTCCAAATGGACGCCATCGTCGGTCGGTATTCAGATGACAGGCCAGACGGCCATCAAGAACTGCGGTCTGCCTCGAAGTAGCCCATGTCCCCACGACCAGATCAAGGCGACCTGCGTTTGCCTTGCCAGTTAAGCAAGACTCAAACAATTTCCGAGTATTTGATTGAAGTCTTTATGGCGATGATCTGATGAAGACATGTTTAAGTTGTAGCTTCGCGGGAATAGATTACGCCTTTCTCCAAGATGAACTCGGGCTTACGTGCACATGTACGCAGATGCAGGAGCTTCAACGGCTCAACTCAGAGCATCTCAACGATACACGTTGAATCAATGAGTCCAAGAAACACATAATTTTACCGTGATTCCAAATCAAGTCGTCGGGTTGCGGCCTTTGTCGAACCAACTGCCGTCATAGCCACTCAACCGACCTGGAGGCTCGGAGGCGGGTTTCACGAGCTTCGAAATCATTCCTTTGGCAAGTTAAGATGCATTTGTCGTAGTTGATACTGAAAAATTCACTAAATTTACGCCAGATAGCAGGTTGAATGGTTCGTTGATGTCCGAGTATACGAAGGTCTCGCTGAAAGATATTTGTGTTGCAGCGGTCTTTCTCCTAGACAACACATTTCCCAACGCAACTTGTACTTCTCGATAGCAACAGAAACTGTTGTCAATGGCAAGAGGCGAGCAAATTCAAAACGGGGTACGCTTTTCAAAGCCGAGTTGGTTGCGAATCACAAAAGATACCACTTCTGTAAAACTCGCTACACTGAAGTCCACGCGATCTCCACGACGAACCCCAAGTCTTGGCCAACAGGAACCACAGCCTGGAAACCACGAGCCCTCAATCCCGCCGTAACGGAACCTCCCCCTCCTCAAAACCGTTTCCGCCAACCTGTCAACCCCACGACGGTCCCCCAAGAGTTGGTCACATCATCTCCATCCCACTCCCACTCTCCTCCCCGGCCCGTCGTCCCTATTCAACCCTCCGCTCCCCCCGCCCAGCCTTTCCAAGCCATCACCACAAACCTTAAGACGACCCCAATGCAAGCGCAACCAAGCTCACAGGACCCTCAGGGCGGGAGAGAAAGGTACACCCCACAAGCAAGGCAGATCATCACTCTTCTCGCTCTCTGCCCCCTGAACCGAACGAAGCCCGGACTTCCCTCGTTTGACATGTATTCATCAAGTAGCTCGGGGCCAAGGCGCTGGTTCAAACGTACGATCATAATCAATACCTTGGGCATGGGCTAGTCGAATGATACAGAGGGGATGTGCAGGACTTCACTTCCCAAACAAGTAATGAGATACCGAAACCGAAGGGCCGGTATCATACGACACAAGAATGCCTTACAAGAAACACCATATCGCAAACTGTACAATAGGCTAAACTAAACATGCGCAAAAGCAGAAGGCAAGTTACCGATGGGATGCATACCTCTCGTCATCGGCGCAGTTACTCGACTTGTTCAAACCCGAGAGTCTGTTTCCCATCCCCCGCGGCCCCTGTATCAGCAAAAGAGAAAAGAAAAGATCAACGCCTCATGCATGTTCGTGGGGTGTGTAGGGATCACGGTTCCATTCCCTCGGGTTAGCCCTCTCGCTCGCTCTCTGCCTTTCCTCGTCAAAAGACAGTTCGAGAACGCCAGCTTGACTCGGTCACCCGACGGGGCGGACCTTACAAGGCACAGAGACGGACGGGGAAGGGGAAGTCTCCCCCTTTCCGCGTCGGCTGCCCCGTGCTTTTCCTGCCTATCCTCCGCGGCAAGACGGGGTTGACCCTCATATGCATCAAACGGCGGACTTGTGTTGAGTGATCTTCGACCTTCCCGCGGATTAATCATCCCAACTTCGGGTTTGGGGAGTTAGGAACATGAGATAGACGCCCCCGAGCCTCCTCCACCCCCCCCCCGGGGCCCCTATTTCGCATTCACGACTGTACGCGATGACGAAGCCGCCTCAGAAAGTATAAGGAAAACCAAAGAAAGGAGTCCAGTACTATTCTGGCAGCTCACAAGCAAACACTCTTCGCTAATGCCAGCTAAAAGTCTGCCTTGGCTTGGGACTTGTATGATGCAGTAGCCTTTACCCGATTACTATCGCAACAACGTTCGGAGGAACCACGGTCGCCGTTGATGAGTTATCCTTCTCCCTCCGGCGTTGACCCCTGGATGCTACCCGCCCTGGCACCTCTCAAGGTCCGAGACCGAACGGCCGCGGAGCGGAGAAAAAGATGAGCAGAAAGCCCGCACCCCGGACCCCGGCCGCGCGGGTCGGGGATGAGGGGGGAAGGGGAGGGTAGACTAACGAAAGGCAAGTAATGTTAATCATACAGATTGCAAATGTCTGTAAGGGGACGCCCTAGACCGCGCGCCCCCCCACGAAACCCAAAAGCCCATACTGCGGCGACCTACCGGTACGAATAGAGTAGCAAGACGAACGCTGTCAAACCTGACGCTTGGGTCAGGTGGCATCCCGGTAATACGTCGTATGCCCATCGGTGCCGATTAACCTTAATTCTCTGCAGGCGCGCGACAACCCCGTCCATGGAGACGGCGACGCGCCGGCCACCACCCACCACCAACATTGCAACGGGGACGGGGCATGGGACCAGGGTCCTGGTCTTTGGGGTTTATTTTCACCCATTTCGGGCCTCGTTTGGGTTGATGAGAAAAGATGAACCCCGAGTCGCGCGCGCGCGCAAGCAAGATGACGATGGGCAGAACAGAGTTTTGAGAGTGCGTGTGTCTGTTTAGCCCTCCTCGGCCCCTCCCCTTCCCACCAACGATCGTCCTCCACCTTTCCGTTACGGATAGCAGATCTCAACGTCCTTAATCTGAGGGGAAGATGAGAGACAGCGGCGACGGACGGCGTCACCTTCGTCCGAAGATTTCGGCCGTCCGTGGAGGAGGTCGCCGTTGATGACAAAACGCAGTGGCCCAGGGGCTGGACCGACCCGCACGAGTCAACAAGCTTCGGAGATCTGATTATTGATTAGACCGTATGCCTGCGGCCGAGTAATTGCTGCCCTCCACCTCAGGTTTCTTGTGCCTGTTTAGATCAGATAAACGGCGAGGGTTCTCCCACCGGCTGATGATCTTTCCGAAGTGTCGGGTCAACATCTGCCGCAGGGTCTCTAGTGAGAAATCATGAAGCTTGAAAAATTGGCGGACTTGTACAATCCCGACCGGAGAGGGGTCCGAGGCTCGGGGACCTGCTCACGATGTCTCCATATGGTATAGAGCCTACAACGTGGATTTAGCATCCCAACTCCCCTCCATTGCTGACGTTGGATATAACTAGGATCCTTATTAGGTGGGATTTAACTTTACTGGAAATAAGAGACAAAATGTCTGCCCCCAATAACTCTGCGATGTTGTGGATTGGGCACATCGGAGCTGTGGATCTCTTGCCAGTTCTTGCCTGTTGAATTGGGCAGCATATCAAGCATACTAAGCTTTTGGCTCTCTCGATGCTTGTAAGCTGACGGGCTTGTTATCATGAGACAGAGAAAGTCCCCGGATTGCTTCCTCGAAGAGGGAAGCCGTCTGCCGGGCGAATCAAGGTTGGCTAACGGCCGAATAAGGTGCTGATATGGCATGATGGCGTATGTGCAGCGTGAACCAAATGACTGGCACTGGTCTTGCCAACGCGGCGACGTGTTTTGGAATCCTTTCTGTTGTGTAAAGGGCGACTCTGGAAATAAGGCTCACCAGCATCCTGCGAGCTGGGTCAGCGCCTGCGGGTGACCATGCAAAGTGAGCCTCCAATGCTCCGCCGTGGCAAGCCTACAGGCAGATCCTGTGTTGCAGAGAGTGATCTCCGCGGCGATAAACGGCAGCCTGGAATCCTACCCATTCGAACGGACGCGACACCTCGCGAGACGGGGTTTGCTTATGGGACTTTGGAGTGGCTGGATTCCAATGCCAGCATCTAAGCCTGTGCGGCTTCCGTAAAGAGATGAGCTTGGCTCTTTCGAAGGATTGCCCTCGTCGTCATGCTCGTACATCCATATTCAGCCAGGAAGTAAGACGTTGGAGATTCCAAATTGACGAGGTACAAGATGTCAGCAGTCGGGCGGCAACCCCCGCCTCGTCTATATCAAAACCCCTCGCATAGCGGCCAATTGACTCCTAGTAGCGCCGCGTCTATTGAAGGATCTTTTCTGAACTCGGGTCCCACGATAGCAAAGCCTCACGTTTGCGTAACATTGATTGTGGCCTAGTGTAGGGTAGAGTTCCTGAACTTCGAGACAAATGTCCAGCGGATTAGAGTTCGCAGGCCAATGTTGAAGCTTGGGACCATGATGGCCGTCATCTGATAATCAGGCGAATGATGGACGCTGTACAGCGGGTGATTGGCGGGCCCACGAGGATAACAGTGGCTCACAGTCTGGCGGGCGGTGTCAAATATCGCCGTGGTTGGGGCAGTGCTGACTTTATCAAGCAAAGCCCAGGGTGCCAAGACTGGTGTAATTCAGCGTGAAGATGCCCATGCTGGAATTGTGCAGCAGCAGATGCAATTGTCGCAGTAGATGATGGTAGGATCGAGTCAATACCTGGAGAAACATGCAGGGACTTTGGCAAAGTCACTCGATGTCTCTCGAGGTACTCTGTGGCTCTTAGCTCTTGGCCCTTGACACCAAGATGCTGCGCCAACGGCTTGTCGTAGGCCTGGGCCAAATCCGTAAGAATTGCAATCTCACAAACTCCCCTGGCACGAGAGAGAGCGGGGTAATGGAGAGGTTGACATGACACTGACACTGACAGGGTGGGCGTGGGTTCGGTTGGCGTCTACCTTAACGAGGGATGCGAAAATGCGATGGCGATCTCCCTCGGCGGCAGTCAGTAAAAGTGACGAGATGCCAATACGGCGGGTGCAGAATGCCAAGCGTCCCAAGGCTAGCACGGCCACCTGTTTTGGGGCAAAGGGTTGGCCAAGACACAGAGCTGGAGGATAAAACATGGTTGCCCAGCTTATGTCTGTACGTTCGTCGAATAGTGTAGTGTAGGCTCGAATTGGGGTCGCTTGGACTCTTGGAGCCACCTTATCGAGCCACAATGTAATTATTTGCGTCGTACGCCCCCCCTTCGCTTGTCGAGATTCAAGGGCATGTGAGTTGCGACAGCGAGCAGCAAGCCCTCGCACTTCGCATCGTGCAGTAATTGGCGAGAGTCATTTCGTTTCGCAGCAGCGATGGCTGTGAGGCCGTGGTGGCGGTGGTCGCAGCGGCGACAGTTGTTACACCAAGCGAGAGACTAGCTAGCCGCGAGACCGAAAACGAGGGCAGACGAGACAATCCGAGCAATGCGAGATGGATGTTTGACAGCTGCAGGCGGGTGAGGTGAATACGCTAATACGCGTTTATCAAGGGGGCGTCAGTACGGAGTTTGGGGATGGAATGGGGAATAAGGGAACTTACGCAGTTCCTGGGCGGGCACAGGCACAGGCACAGGCCCAGGGCAAAGCTCGCAAAGTTGGAGACGTCTCCATCAGAATACTCGTACCTGACTGACGGACTGCATGTGCTGTCAACATGGCATGGCATGGCACTGACAACTTGCGACAGCCTTGACATGACATAGACAGGCCATGCCCAGTCCTGTCACTTTCGCTGTCAGCCCATTTCAAGCTTGATTGACAGGCACAACAAGTCAAGCACCATGACTGACACGGCAGGAGGTCCATCTTCGCGAGACACCAAGGTGCCTTGACTTATCTCAATCCAGAAGCCTGGCTGTCACCTGTGACAGGAGGAGGCAACAGGCAGGAGGATAGGCACCTACCTAGGTGATGATCCGGGAACGGGATTCGCAATTGGGAAATGATGCGAGGATGCAGCAGCGGGCCAATCGCCCGCGTTCCTGCACAATTCGTGTTATTTCCATGAGTAGTGTAGGTGCAGGTGCGTTGCCAGTCGGGCAGTCCCGCCAACGAGGGTAACTGCCTTGAGTGATTCCTAAGGTAAGGTAGGTAGATAATATGCAATGTCGCAGGTGCATCGACGGATGAGGAAAGTAGGGTGCGAGCTGCTGCACTCTTGGAGTAAGGTGCCGAGACCGAAACATCGAAACAAGGCAGCTGCAATCGCGATGGTTCCTTCCATTGCAATCAAGGAAGGGGAAGGCCTCCCGCAAAGAACAACCTGGAAGGTGCACGGGTGCGGGTGTCTCCTTCCTTACTTCCTTCCTTGCTTGAATCTACGATCGAAGACAACGGCCGACAGCTACTTCCCGTACGGATCGACGGAGGAACTGCAACAGGCGCAGGAGCATCTTCTCCTTGCATCCTCCACACCGCACCGCACAGCACCGCCTTTCCATTACTCTCCTCAGGAGTTCGGGCCCGAAGTCCCCTCGCCAATTGGCCCCCCCCACCCCGAGAACATCAAACCACCTCGAGATGCGGCCCCGACATTGAACAAGGCAGTGAGACGCAGACATGGCATCATGGAAATCATTGGATCATGTACGCATCAGCATCAGGTACGCACACTCTTCAAGATAATCCCCCGGATACCCACGTGGGGTTCCCGCACTCACCCGTCGCGGCAGCCGTCACCGTTTCCGTCACCGTTCACCCCGACTCAGAGTGAGCGACCGAGTCTGACCCCGAGACATGGACGCAAACGTGTCCTCGGGCGCCAACAAATCCCTAGGGCCAAAGTCTAGGAACCCTGAAAGGACCCCGAGCCCGGCCGCCGCATGACAAACCGGCGCCCGGCCACCGAGCCCGCCAGCCCGCGGACCACGAGCCCAGGAATACCAAGAAAAAGCCAAGACATGCGCCAATCAAACGCCCACCCAAATCATCGACAAGCGCGACTTGCACCTTAGGGTTACGGCTGATGATTGAACCACCTGAAAGAACGAAAAACTTTTTTTTCGAAATAATCACCCAATATGTGTCATCTGCCTCCTCGTCTTGGCTTCTAGTCTAATGCGAGGCAACCACCCCCCGGACGACGAGGTCAGGTCGGGGGTCCAGCTTATCATGGATTCGGGTGGATGTTGGCCCTACCCATTTGCCCAATTTCAGATTCGTCGCCGGTGCGCTGCATACCGCGGGAGCCTCCCCTGCCCGCTCCACGCCGGTGTCAATACGGCGTATGCGATGTCCGATTAGCCCCCGTTCGGCATCGCGAGCTGCCGACGCTTGCACAAAACGCGGCACTGAGCTCTGCACAACTCCCAGCCCTCGTCCAGCTGGCCGCCGATCCTTTGCGATCGCCTGCCTAAAATACGGGGCCCCTGTCACCCTGTCAGGGGACCACCCACCACGTTGGCGGTTGGTCATCGACTCACTGTCTGGTCCCCAGTTCTCTCCGATCCCGACGATGTGGACAGAGTGGGACGGGGCGGAACAGTGTTGCAGCCCGACTGGCTGCTTGCGGACATGGAGCAACAGAGAGAAAAAGTCGAGAAGGAAAAAGAGGGCAAAAATAACACCATCTAATCACCGCCTTTCGACCCACTGTCAGTCACCGGAATTAACCCACACCATCTCTCTGCCGTATCAATCGCCCTCCCTCACTAGTGTACGACGTACACTACGACTGCTACACTACTATGCATAGTACTCTGCTACTGGCACCAATGACACGCCTTACAGGGCGATCAAGTAATATGCCGAGTGCGAGAAGCCCGAAGACCTGCGGCCGAGAGGCCTTTTCGCCCTTGAGTTTCGCCCGACTGATGGCTGCCTTGTCCGACAACGAGGACGACGTTGCCCCGAACGTCGCACAACGTTAGACTTCGAGGTGGGCGTTCCGCTGCTGGCACTCTACTTTGACGGCAGTCCACCACTCTCACCATCCACAATTTGCTGTGTGGGAAACTCTCAGACCTTCTTCAATGTCGGCCACGGCGCTCATCATTTGTTCGAGAAACCCAATTTTGTCCGCTGACAAAGCTCCTGAACCCCAAACAATACCCAATTCAGGGATTTCCCAGCATCGTCAACCCAACTCAGACAAGCCCGCCCAGCCCAACACGTGAACTCACAAGGTGCCATTGCCCACGCTTGTCTGAGCCCCTTCAAACAATGTCATCGGTCTGGAAGTCCGTGAACGACTTTTTCTTCCGCCCTACACCTGAAGCAGCAAGAAACCGAAAATCCATAATCCACACACTCTTAAACCCGGCCACAGGACCATGAGGCTAATTCCGCCCTCGCATTTTGCAGTGGGAAAAAAAAATGTCGACTCATATGGGGGCCTCCACCGTCGGACCACGGGGTTTACAACATCCCGTCCCGCCCTCCGCTACAAACGCCGAGATCACTTTTCGATTTCCAACCACCCTAGTAGCCCCCTTCTGGCGCGCAAAGCACATCCTACGCAGCAACGAATAGCCCACTATCAAAAAAAAAAAAAAAAAAAAAAAACACCCTCTTATCCACCGCGCGGCGCGCCATAGGCCCCAAAAGTCCGCTTATCCTATCCTCAAACGCAGCATCATCGCATGAACAGCGCCCTGAGCTTCCCGCGTTTAGTGGAACATGCGCTGTGGGGCGCCGCGTTGCGTGTTGGGATCGAAAGAGATCGCAGGGCGGACGCTTTCAGACGGTTCCTATCGCTATGTCCTGCTGGAGAACTTTTTTCTCTGTTCCCCGTGGCGCTCCATTCTGCCTGTCGCCAGAGTGACCCTGCCTGGAAATATGCGCCTGAGTTCCATGCATATCTGTTTCCGCCCAGGGAGTTTGCTTCCGCGTGTAGAGGCAAATGCGTGAACGTGCGTCGACGTTGTGTGTGCGTCTCTGCGCAGACCGTTGGCTTTTGCGCCCTGCCACTGTCAACGCCAGCGCCGCAGACGCAGCGACTACGAGCAACCACACACGCACTGCAGGCGGGGAGACAGATACACACCCCCTGGCTTCACATCTCCCACGCCCCCCTAACTGACCAACGAAGCAGGGATCCCGGATACGCCAGGGGAACCTTTGTCCAGAACGAACCAAGACCTCTTGATCGAGTGGCTTAGAGCGTGAGGGGCGTGACGACGACGACGACTGGGCTGGTAGCTCGCCCGCCGTCTCGGCGGACTTGGAGTTTTGTTTCGTCCGCTCCGATGGGACTTGTTATTCCGTGTTGCCAGTTTGCACCCGTTGGCCATGATGGTGATGCAATCTACGCCCGACAAGCGGCTCATCTCACATGAAAAAGGGAAACAGGACAAGCATCCAGGGGAAATACGAAAATAGGGGGTTGGGCAGTAAATGGGCTGTTGTTGGCTTGGTCTTGCCTCTATTTCCGTCTGTTTGGAACCCCATTCGGCCCCCAAAGTGTCTCTCAAGCTTCCATCAGGCATTTCGCAGATCAACTCAAACCCAACTGCTGCAGCGCCGCCGCTGGTGGGGGGCACCAGAAGCTTGGAGAAATATTGACGACGGATACAGCAAAACATCGACGGTCACGACAGCTGAGCTGGCAATCTAGACCTGGGTACGGTGAGGTCGACTAAGACCCGTTTCGAACAATGATCGTCGGTTTCTTCAGTATCAGAAGATTACCTGGGGGCCCTTTTTACACGTATTTTGTCAACACCTGCGGCCGTTGACGGGCCCCTGTCCTGTCTGTACGGGTTCTACAGTCGTGACGTGGAGTCCGCCGGCCGTGGCTTAGGTTAACTCACTATGGTACCCCCCCCCTTGGCAACTCTGAGCGTCGCATTCGCTCCAAACCCTCCGCCGCCGTAGCAGCAATAACAGCGGTCAGATCAGGTCACGGGGGGTCACGCAGTAGGGGAAGGGGGAAAGGGTAACCGTGACGGTTGCAGGCCGAAAGCAGCAGCAGGCCAGAGAAGACCAAAGAAAAAAAAAAGTTGGAACGGAGCTGGCTCCTGCTTCGCAAAGCTCCCTCTTTCCCTGAGGGGAAGCTCTGAAAGGATGAGGGGGGATGATGCTTCAGGACGGGGGACTAGGGGGGGAGGGGAGGGCAGCATTGCATAGTTAGCTGTTCCCTGTCAGCCTGCAAGTGCAAGCTCGCACACCGTCGCAAGCCGTCGCCGACCCCCTCCAGTAGCAAGCAAGCAACCCAACCAGCAGCCAAGATGGACGCCGACTGCAGTGTGTTTTGCCTCGTCGCCGTCCACTGAAATGCTATTGTGTGCTGTTGTTATTTTGGCATCATTTTCAGTTTGGGGGATATCGGACTGTTGTGCCACCGAGTGTGTGTGCGTTCATGCCAACATTCTTCACTCTTTTACTACAGGACCATACAAACTCTGAAGGTTACAGCCGCTGAACTAAAATGTAGACGGCGACAAGAGCAAAAAAAAAAAAAAAAAAAGTCATTCGAACTAGGTTATGGCTGGGTGCGCTTGGTGGCAGAGCGCAGCGAGCGCTCGTTCGTTTGGTCTTTTCTTTTTTTGCTGCCCTGCTGCCCAAAGAGGAAATTGTTAGCGCGCATTTATTTTCTTTCTCGTCTCTTCTCTGGTGAACCAGTCACTGCAAGAATGTGTGCATGCATAGTCATGGTGAACGAAATTGTAAGAAGAGTGTGGTTTGGTATTTTTCTCGCCAAGGTTTACACGCCCCCCTCCCCGGCCCCCATATCCAGCTATTTTGTTATGCTGAGTCGTCCCAATGTACACACGCACGGGGGCGGGAGAGAGTGTGGTGAAAGTAAACCTGTTGTCTAAGAAACACCTTTCAGGCGCCAGGCTATGCGAAGCGACTGACAGGAGGGAAAACATGAAAGAAAAACCCGGCCGTGATGATACATGGTCTCCGATTCGAGTAGTCGTCGTGACTGCCTTTTTTCTTCGTCCTTCCCCCTCCCCCTGAGAAGAAATTACCACACAATAGAGAAGTAAATGGCATAAACATGTTTCCCCGTAAATCCCTGAAAACGCCTGTGTCGTTGTGGACACCAGTAGATCCCGCCGGTAACAATAAAGCAACGCCTTCGCGGTGTATCGTTGGAAAGAAGAGCAGACGGAACACCGTAATAAAACCTCCCAACCGCCATCGCATGTGCGCGAGCTGGGCGCGCGTGCGCCAGCCCGGTGCCGAAACCCGCCAGTAACCCCAGTTCTATATCTCATAACGCGTGATCAGATGTAAGAAATTCGAGGTTTCGTTGTTCGAGTGAACCGTTTATAGGCGCATCGGCTCGCCGTCGTAGCCCCCGTAGATCATTGGGTCACCCATGCCCATCATCACCTCGGGGTTCGGACATGAGAGGACGTGAGGCTTGATGGTGCCAAATTCGTTCTCAATGAGGCCCTGATTAAGCATGTCCATGCTGGAGAGGGCGCCGTTTTGTTGTTGGAAGAACTGCTGGGCGAGATCCATTGCTGGTGGTTGGGGCGGTGCTGCCTGGCGAGGCATGGTCCATTGTGGTACGTAGGCGTTCATGGTCGGGGACTGGTTATGGAACATTGCGGCGGTGGGGTCGACTGGTGAGGCGACAGAGTCGACATCGAACTCGGTGTAGCCGGTCGAGAAGCTCTGGGGAGACATGGTCATCGGGTTGTTGTGCTGGCCAAAGACTGCCTTGCGGTAGTCGGCCTCGAACTCGGAGTGGTCGAGCTCAGAGGAGCTCGCGCGGTCGGAGCGTTCGCAAGACGAAGCCGAGTCAAGTTCTGTAGGTATCCTGGTGGTGGTAGCTGCCTTCTCTGCATCGCGCTCCTTCTGTTGCTCCTCCAGTTGGCGCGCCAATTCGGCGAGGCCTGCTTCGTCTTCGGGGAAGACAGAGTGGACGGGAAGGTCGATATCTGAGTTGGGGCGAATGCAGCCAAGCTTCTGGGCAATGTTGTGGATGACAGGTTGTCCTCGGTCGTTGAGCTCAGGCTCGCCAAGGTCCCATTGCTGGTTATTCCTGACCATGGAGTACAACTTGTGAACGGTGGCGATGAGGGCGAATTGGGTGTGCTCGAGGACCTCGGCGTATCCTCGAGGGAGCTGCTTGTATTCCGTCTTCTTGCGGACACCGGCAGTGCAGACGAGACCGTCGTCCTTACATCTCTTGCAAGGGAACTCTCCGTCGCACTAAGTGATGTTAGAGGGGAGGGTGGGTTGGGAGGCGGGGGACAGTGAGGCCTACCTTGGTCTTCTTCATTCTACACCTCTCGCAAGCCTTCCATACTCTCTTGTGACGACCGTCGGCAGACATTGCAGAGGCGGGGTGGTCATGGTGTGATGTTGCGTTGTGAGGGCTGGCGCGCTTTGCGGTGTGGCGGTTGGCCTTGATGGACTTTGAGCTGGATGAGGAGTTCTTCCTGGACTTCTGGTCCTCCAATGGAGGGGTAGGTAGGCCGCTTCCCATGGTGGATGATTAAGAGTTATGATGTGAGGCGAAGTTGTAGTTGAGGTGAAGAGGTAGTAGTGTAAATGAGGCAGGATGGTTGTGATCCAAGATCGAGGGGCAAACAGACGTATAAGTTTGTTCCTGTCTGTGGGTGCAGGCCGTGTAAGTGAAATATAATAACGAGAACGAGACCCAGTTCAGTTAGGGAAGGATAGCCAAAAAGGTAAAAGAGTCGGGATGACACAGGTAGACACAGCCAAGAGTCCGCGGCGCTAGGGTCAAGAGTCGGGACAGTCAGCACGGCAAGGGACTGGGATGCAGGGTGTTGGCAAATTATTAATGTCGAGCAGACTGTCGGGGTGCGTCTATTGTGCGCGCGCGAGATTATGTGATGCGGCAGAAGGCCTCGGAAGCTTTTGAGTTAATAAAGTTCGGTCGCTCGCAATGCTAGGAGGGCGGGTGGGCAGGGCGTGTGCGGTGCCTGCTTGGGTGTGTGTCCTTGTGGTGTTGGTGCTGTGCAGAGAGGGCGGATTGTGGATTGCTGGCATTAACGGTCGGCGACGTCTTTATGTCCGAGTATGCGCGGGCGGGCCCCTGGTCCAGTCGTGTGGAATGGAATGGGGGGAGGAGCACAAGAACAGAAACGGGATCCTGGAATTCTTGGTGTACCGTTTGTACAACTGATGTTGTGCAATGTAGCCTGCGCGCTAGACAGCTCTGAATGAACTAGCCGCCAAACGAGGTAAAGTCCGCAGCGGAGTTGAGAGTGCAGAGCGTGTGAACGAGGATAGGGATTGGGGTCCTGATTTGCAAGCCGGGCCTGGGACGTGGTAGGGCTTATGACTGCAAATATGGCGGATTGCTGACCGCAGGAGGGACCTGTCTTTTGGCGGACGACGGTGCCGGGTACTGGTTCTGGTCCAAAAGGGCGATGACTGAGGCTGGTTGGTGCCTTTTGTTTCTATTCGTTGAGCCGTAGATGACTGAAGTCCTTTACAGCGGGCGGGCGAATGCGGGAGGATTGGTTCGATATAAGCCGGTTTGGTGTAACAAGATGATTATCTTTTGCAAGTGTGGCTTGAGGTGAGATAAGATGGTGAGGCTAAGCTTGTTGAAGTGTGTGTGTGGATGAGTGATGAGAGACCAAGACAAAGGGCCCGAGAAGTGTTTCGAGATTGTGGTTCTTGCTGGCTTGAAATATGCAGTCCAGTTGTGTCGTCTGTTCGGGATCGAGATGGTCTTTTAAGTAGACGGCATTACATCAGAACCAAGAAGCTATCAACGTCAGGTCGGCGGCGGAGTTGGAGATGGATTGTGATCAAGGTCCCCGATTCGAAACATCAATGGCTTCCAAGTTCCGTCGAAGGGGGATCCCAATCAGACGGAACAGCCGCCCGCATCTTATATTCAGGAAGCAGGGTTATCCACAGCTCAGCCGGGATCCAGAGAATGCGAGCTGTCCATGCTTGCTTGCTGGCTGCGGCTTGGGGTCATGAACACAACATGACATGACGCTGCAAGTATGTTAGCCATAGGCCTAGTCTGGGCCATCTGCCTCGGGGAGGAGGAGGAGATGGATGGGCAGAGACTGGACGGTACCTTGGAGAGACGAAGCCGAGTGTACGCCTTGTTCAAGTGGGTTGTGCGAGGACAAGGCTCGTAATGGTGCCGTCAAGGGGTAAGGCAGGTTGAGCGGGTCCGCTGCGGTGACGGGGCGGTACATTGCGATACAAAGTACATCGGGTGTGGAGGTTGCTAAGTCCCCGACGACAACAACCTGAGCAGCAAGCTCTGCATGGGTGATGGGGCCAAGGAGACAGAGAAAGACAGCGACAGAAAGACTCTGCTTCCCGAACGACACAAAACCCTCCGAGCTCTCTCCAAGGTCCCTCCAATCCCCACTCGTCCGTACTTCGCCCGTGGCTGGTAGACCTCTCTTGTCTGTAACCAGCATTTTAGGCGCTCCTGCACGTTCTACTGACGCCGATACGTCGTGTTGAACAACCCCCCCCCCCCCCCCCCTCTCTCTACCGTTTTGGGCAAATGGGTGTCGCGGTGACCGTCCCGTTGTGTGAATTCCGTACGTCTTGACGCTCATGGCATTGCCCTGAGTTCCCCGACCAAGGTTTAGCGCCGTGGGATCGATCAGTCCATCCCAAGTTGCTACATGACCATGATTCCCAGATTTGTGCACACATCGGCGGAATCTGACGGGGCCGGTAGCGGTGCGAATAAATCCCACTGATTCCCCGTACGCCAAGATACCGGTCTCTCGACGAGGCCGGCGCCGAGGGCGGGGTCCTTTACTTTTGGTTGCGCTGCCACCGTCAACGATAACGACTCCAGATCAGCTCAACCTCGGGGCCGCGATCACGAACGGCGCGGCGAATTTGCAAAGGTTCTGGACTCGAATGGAGACCAGATGGCAAGCATGATCAAATTGATGACGCCAGAGACTGGTGTCTGCCAGCTGGCGTTGTGGTACGTGGTGAGTCCCTGAACCAGATTGCCATTTTGGGCAAATAGACAGGGAGCCAGGGTTGATGATTCATGATGGATCATAACCACTGGGCTGGGCCAGCAAAAATCTCAAGCCGCCGGAACAGCGCCCATTACGGCCGCCAAGTTGTTGTATTTTTGATATGCTTGAATTAGTTTTCTCTTCAAGCCCAATGTGACCCATCGGCGGATTCCTTGCCCGGTGGGGGACTCAAGGGGTTGAAAGCAGCATATCCCAATTATCCTCAGGCGTTTCCTATCGACGCAGCTCGAGCGCAGGTGAACTGACCGCGTAAAACGGTTTGGAGAACAGACAGCGGGACATGGTCGAGCTCGAATGCATGCAGGGACTTCCTCGTTCCTCGCAACAGCGCCGACAGCCTCGTGTGGGAGGGCAGCCATGACGGACGGACTTTTGTGTCATCCTAATTAATCCATGTTGGAGCTGGCATACTGACGATGCGTGCTAAAAGAATAGTATGCGCCAAGAACGGCAACCATGGATTCGGCGATGCCTCTTGCGGTTGCATGGAAGAAGGGCAAGTTGTGCCTGACCGCAAAGTCTAAGTGGGAGGCAACTCAAGGGCTGGAGACGGAACTTTGACGGCGGAGGGAGTTGAGTTGAGGCGAAATGGAGGTAACAGCAACTTTGAGCGAACGGGTTGAGGCGTGTGTGATGTGACGGGTGCAATAAGGTCGGCGGAAGGGTGGTTCAAACTTCTGGCCAGCGCAACCCTCTGTGCGGCGGGAGCGTGCAGGCAGATGGATGGTGCCCGCCATCACCATCAAACCCATCTGATACTGTGACACCGCCCAAGGCAAAGGGTGCAGTGCAGGACACAACGTCAAGGCGACCAGTTTCGAGGAGCGAACCTTATTCTCTGGCGACAAGCAGGGAGCCGCCGTGAAGCTCCCTGCCGAGGCTCGTCGGCGGCTCGCCACGGCGGCGTGGGGGAGCCAATGGTTCGTGGACGATCGCGAAAGATCGGGGACCTGGACCAGAGTGTAAAAAAAAAAAGTCCGGCGAGGAGGAGAAGGGAGCAGATGGCTCGGGGTTGTAGTTGACAGCCATCTCGCCGACGCAGCGCGGGAGACGACAAGCGGAGCACGGACAAGTTGGACGATCGCGAGGCCGTTCTGTGGCCCGCTCGCCCCGTCGGCGCGTGAAGTTGTCGAGACGGCCGCACCGCACAGAGCAGAGGCTCGCAAGGCCAGCTCGAGGTGATCAGCGGCAAGCGTTTTGAGCCGAACGACTTGTTTGTTTGATCATGCAATGCAGACAGATGTTGTCGATGGCGATGTCAAGCAGGCCAGGCAGGTAGGTACCTTAGAGTGTGGCGTCTGCGATGAGTAAAGTCGCAACGCATCAAGCTGAAAGGGCGATGAGTGGACGCAACGTCCTGATGACCTCGCGATGCAACAAGTAGGATCAGGTACCTTTCTGGAGTTCCTTCCGTGACCGCAATTACCGTTGTAAAGGCGTACGAGAAGGTGTCGCTCAGACAGTGACCTGCTACTTTGTTTGCCTTTCGTTCCCCAACCCAACCTCTACTTACACCGCCACCACCTAGGTACTATGTTACTCCCACTACCTCGCACAGTCGCGATATCCCGGCCCGTTTGCCAAGACTCGAGGCTTTCCTGCACTGCATTTTCGCTCGCAGTCGAGGACAGTACGAGTACGAGACCTCAATCCAGCGTGTGCGCCCGAGCTTGTGACTCTGTGAGTGAGTGCTCGTTGGTTGGCTGATTAGTCGATCCGGGCACCGGGCGGAGGACGGCAGGAATAAGCAACGTGGATCGGTTTCGCCCAGACCAAAAGTCCCAGCGATTAATTAGACTATTTTGCCGTGGAGACGTGTGGGAATTGATGCCAACGGAGAGGTTCAGGGTCAAGTCAGACCGGAGTTCGTTCTGTTGGAGGCGGAGGATCAGGTACAAGCCTCAGTCCCTCCTCCATGTCTTGGAGTGTCTTGGAGTAAGCAGTGTAAGTGGTAAGTGGCAGGTGCATGTACCTTGAGGGTCGTGGAGCGGTGCCGAGGTGTTGGGTGGGGCGTCGGAGAATGGAAGGCACAACACAAATGTCATCACTGCGTATTATTCCCGGCCAAATTTGCAAAGAATTAAGTGATAACGTGAACATTCACCCGCTCTTACCAATCCCTGAAGCCGCATTCTTACCACCTCACACCGTAAGGTAAGGTAAGATAACAGGCAGGCAGGCTCGTTGTGAGTCACCGCTACAGATTTTTCATGTTTGAGACTCCAGGCGGTCTGTTAGTATGCCTGAGACTGTTCCCATGGTAAAAGCCTGAAGGTAGTATTGGTGGTGTGCGGGCGGTCATGGCTGCATCTGTCAAATGTGATGATCGCACGCAACATTGGCATCACTATTTGCTCTGCTCCATTCCCCCATGCCGATCGGTTCACGGGAGTTGGTTCTAGATCCACGGAGCGGAGATGTTAACTCCGAGTTGATTTGTCCGTGGTGTTGGCGGTGGCTTCCTTCAATAAAGCCG